GGGGGGGGGGGGGGGGGGAAGGAGACAATTAGAAAGGTAATATCTTCATGCATCCCTGGTCATTACGGTTTCAGTTTTATTGCTAGGATAGCGGAAGTTTATGCTCAGTTGTTTCGTGATTGATTAAATTAAGATCTTCAAGTTCTAAAAAAGTAAAAAAGTAAAGAAAAATATTAACAAGCTTACTGCATTCAGACCACTCGCGTGTCTCCGTGAATGTGGACGGTTTCAGGAACCAGAGCCCAAGCAGTGATAAATTAAAAATCAAAACACGTTACTCAATATATGAAGATTTATGTCTTCTGGGTTGTTGCGATAAATCGCCCTGATCACGGAGGCAGTATGACCTCTGAAACGTTGGTAAACATCGACCAGACTACACAGCGCAACAACCCAGAAGACAGAAATCTTCATACTCATCGCCATGATGATGGAGGCAGTATGACCTCTGAAACGCTGGTAAACATCGACCAGACTACACAGCGCAACAACCCAGAAGACAGAAATCTTCATACTCATCGCCATGATGATGGAGGCAGTATGATCTCTGAAACGTTGGTAAACATCTACCAGACTACACAGCGCAACAACCCAGAAGACAGAAATCTTCATACTCACCGCTGTGAAAACCTCAAATCTTACTCAATACATATAAATATTATATCCACTAACTAAATAAACGACCGTGGTTCAAGACTCCCAACTTTAGAAGCTCCTCGCTGGATGTCTTCTTAAAGTCAATCACCTGTTGACTCAGGAAGTGGGTAATCTTTTTAGGCAACTGTTTAAATTTTTCACCAATAGCTGGGGGGGGCCTGCAAATTTAGACGGTAATTAGTATTTCAACAATACATATTTAAAAGTATATGTCTCTTTTCTGTGAAAAGTGTTGCCACTGTACTACAGTTAGTAATAAATCGATTTCATTACAAGTTAACTTTGACATCGAAGCAACGAGTAATTATTTCGACAGGGTGTCCCAGCCTTGGACTCTGGTATTATCTGCGTAAACTCAAGTCAGGCCAACAGTGAAATTTGTTTTCAGAGGCACGATAGAAAGTGTTTCCTCTCTGTTTTGGGGTATACGAAGGGGCAGAGTGCTTTTAACTACAATTCCCTGCTAATGACTCCTCTGCAAATATGTTTACTGAGTTCATTCACAATCAATATGCATCAGTAATGGTAGTAAGTGGTGAAGATACGGTTATGTAAATGACCTATGGCAAATATTCCGTTTCATTGCGGAAGACATGCAGTCACACACAAAAACGCATATAAAGAAAATACGGATTTGTACTCAGTTGCTACTGTATACGCACGTTCTAGCTGTCTGAAGTAGGGGTTTCCAAACCTTTTCAAAAGTGGAACATTTGGTTAGTAATTTCTGTGCTCGTAGGCACGACTGTTAACGCCGAAATAAAACGCTCAGAATAAAAATCCAGGCTATTTTAAAATTAAATAGTGGCAATACTTACATGTTAAAGGGCGACATTTTTCAAGAAATTTTCCGAATGTTTGGTCAAGACGAACTCTTTATTTTTTCAGAAGACATGCATCGTAATCAAATATAAAAGAAAACATGTGGTTTTATAAAATACGATAAGCATTCAAGATGCAATGCATATTAGGCGCATTTATAGACATTTCATCTACCGCCTCTGTGTTATATTTAGTAAGGGCAGATTTTAAATATAATATCAAAAAGCCTCGTGAGCCAGATTAAATGGTATAGTAGGCGGCCAGGACCTGACAGAACGACAAGTTGATCGACATGACTTTCTGCCTGGTGTACTGTCGATTGGATGACTAGCTGACCGAACACTGCTTGGCTGTCTCAATGACTGACTGGCTATCTGAATGTTTGCCTAATTGACTGAGGGATGTTCTGATTGGCTGGACTGGTAGTGGATTAAAAGTATGACTGACCGACTGTCCCTCTGGCTTCATAAACGACTAACTGGCTGATCAAGAACTTTCTGGCTGGATAAAAGGCTAGCTGACTGTGTGGCTGGATAAATGACTGACCGGCCGACTGATTGGTTGATGGAGGTAACATGTTCCCAGAAACGCTTGTGGCTATCAACAAACGCACGCAACATTACTACCCAGAAGACCGACATCGAAATTTCGACCGCCGCGAGAAACTCATATCTCGTACCCAAATGAAATCTACATCGTACGATTGACGTTCATTATACCCCACACAACAGATCCAAATTACGGTGTTATTTAGAACAGTATGCACCCTCATATTGCCATACAAATAAGGTAAAAGAACAAATTTCTTTTCTATGAGAAACGCTAAATAACCAATGAACCAACTGAAGTAATTACTGCCACTTTTCTTTACAGTCCTAAGCCGGACCCTCCCCCCCCCACACACACACACACCCTTTCCCTCACGGATGATGGAGAGAAATGCGGACAATGTTTATTGGTATCTGCGTGGTACAGAGAAGACCACTACTGAATATACTCTGCAAGCCACTCACCTGTTTCAGCTGCGCCCCGTGGCGGGATATGCCTTGACTTCCTTCCAAACAGTCGCCATCCCGCATTCCAAAATCCTGTGGACAATTGACGATTGTCAGAAAAAGAATATTTTCATCGTGTCACCTTCTAAACGATATTCATGAAATAACTGTATAAGCGTCTCTTGTTATACCTGCCAAACCCATCTTAACCTCGATTTAATTACCCTGTAATAAAATGAGATTTTACAAAAATAATTACACTGCATTGAAAATAAAAGTACACTTAAACAACATTATACAAACGTTCCTCAATCTATTTAAGCGAGTAATCAGGCTTTCACTGGCAACAGTTTTAATATGTGTTTTAGTGTGTGATTATGCGTGTGCGTGCGTGTATGTGTGTGTGTGTGGTGGCGAAGGGTTTATATGAAATAACGCAAAACTAACAATGGCGACTGAAGAACAGTGGAACGAACACATAAATAGACGGGGTTGCGAAAACAGTTATTCTGGTTTCATTTACTTAAAAGCAGGAACAGGAAACCTCTCTACTTGAGGCTACTAGGGGGAAGAGTTTGTATGACTTGGTGGAAAGACCTACTCATAAGACATGGAAGATAGTATTAGCAGACAAATACAGAAAGAAAAAGATAAAATTATAAAAATGTTTATATTAATCAATTAGTAAATATTAAATTAAGCTGGAACTGTTCTTTCCAAAAGCCGAAGATCGTACTGTTCTGTACAAATTATATCCCATATACCTATCTCGATACTAATCTAATTCGATGTGAAACTAATACTGGCACAGAATTGTATTTATAACAACTGAATACCACCAGGTGCCCGACTGAATATTTTAGGCGGGCCACTATGAACCACATTATATATTTGGTAGGACTGAAAAATGAGAGATAAATTGGTGCATGTCAAGTCCTCTACTTTCACTGTAGCACAAAATATAACTCGGCAGAAAAGAATACAAATACACGTGTAACGAGCCGCATTCTATACCGCGGTCTTAGTGTTCGAGAGGTCCGCATCAGATCGCTTCATTTCCGATCATTCGTAAATAATTAACTTTACATCCAGTTAGACGTTTTGCAGTCGACTCTGCAACTCCATATTAGTGTTTTTCGGAACAGTAAACTGTGTAGACGTTTCAATATTCAGAACACATTTCTTCACCAATTATGTACAGGCGTCAGGATGCTTTAAACACATTAACACATTTGGAAGCACTAATGGCTTAACATAAGTCTGCCTAGGTCTATGTGAGTTCTGAAGTAACAGTCTAAATCTTTTAAGGAGATGTGCTGACAGTCTGACAGTTTGTCTACATATTGGTCTAGGAATAACATTCCTCGACACATTCTTACAACTGTGCTTTATAAACCTGACTAGAAAAATCAAGGCATTGTATTTTGTTTTCTTTACATACTTGATGACAAAGTGGTTAACAACTTTATTATCCTTCGCAAAATGATTCCGGAATACATTTTGCTACTAATACATTCGTCTCTAATTTTCTTCTATCTTACAGTCTAAAAGGTAAATCTTTTATGAATTTATTTTGAGACACTATATGCCTGTCACAAAATTCACGGTGGTCTAGCGATTAGAACGCTGGCCTTGTAATCCTGGGGTCTCGGGTTCGATTCCCGGTGGTGCCCGAATTTATAACTTGTGTTGGGCAAGGCCGTGGTCTAGGCAACACGGAGTTTCCCTCCGGGGGCTTCCCCGGTTTCTCCGTGGCATCCCAACAATTACTCCATTCACACACAGTAGAAGGCAATGGCAAACCACTTCTGGATCATCTGACAAGAACGTACATGAACAGGTCCCAGTCCGAGAAAAGGATGGAAGGATCCTGTTCATATGGACCTGTCGTCAGACAGAACACTTACTAAAATATAAAAAATAAATGCCTGTTACAAATTCAACAATTTGCTTGTATCTATGGACACTAAAATACAAATGTATATTTTTATTCTCATTTATATAGTCCAACGGTTTAGAGCGGTGAACGTATTTATGAGGCACCTTGTGGTAAGTTCTACAAAATCAGCATTTTGACTTAGGATTTGATGTATCAACCCGGGAACAAGACAGTCGTTTGCAAGAATCGATAATCATTTTGATTATGGTTTTTTCTGGGTTGCAGCGCCGTGTAGTCTGTTAGAATGTAAGACTTGAGGTTCTCACAGCGGTGAGTATGAAGATTTCCGTCTTCTGGGTTGTTGCGCTGTGTAGTCTGTTAGAAGTTTACCAACATTTCAGAGGTCCTTGCTGCCGCCATCATCATCATTGCCCTGATAATGGAGGCAGCGAGGACCTCGGATACATCACTAAATTTCTAATAGACTACAACGATGCTACAACGCAGAAAACAGTCGTCTTCGTATTCACCGGGGTGAGCACCTCAAATCCTACTATTATTATCATTTTGTGTGTAATAAAATCCCCTGGCCTTCAATCACAATATGACACGCATTTTCATTCTTAATATTCACACACCCGTGTTTTCTCATTTCAAATCTAAAATTTATTTGTGTTTAATCCTTCCTTCCTTTCTTCCCTCTTTCCTCCTTTCCTTCCTACAATAGGTTTCATTTCAAAACCTTCAAGCGAAAAGCTTTTTCTTCCGTTTGTTGTTGGCGCTGAATGAGTTCTCCAAGCCCAACCCTAACGTTCAGTGCGAAGCGACATCAGCTGTATAAAATAACATTTTATTGATCCAAAGTAAGGAATTCATTTACGGCTAAGCACATTCAATCTTCCTCCCTGTTTTTAATTCTTTTTATTCTCTTTTCTTTATATTACTTTCCGTTCTTGTGTCTTTGTGCCCACTTTTATCCCGTTTTCCTTAGTCCAATCATATCGATTCCTGTCCTCGCCGAAGGCTGGAGACACTGGAACCAGGTACCATTGCTCTGACATTCAGACTTCCTTTGTTTCTTTGCTTCGTTCTAAATTCCTGTCTGTTCTTTTTATATGCTGTAGATAAAGTCTTCACAAACTGCGTATTCCTTTAACAGTTGTTTGCTTCAGACTCGAGTAATTAGCTTTTTAAATTGTTATTCCTTAAATCAAGTATTAATATGACACACTTAGAAGACTTCTAACATGAAAATGCACTGCACACTTATAAAACATAAAATAAAATAAAGACCTTCCACAGTCGTTCTTTAAGGATGCAATATCTTACGACCTTGAAGGTTGTCATACCTTGGAACTGCATAAATGTCATTGATGTTATTTAGCAGTTACTTAGTAATGAGTTAGTTTAATGCCTGAAATCCTTCGTCTTATTTAGCAAAACTGCCCTAGTTTTATAGACCCTACAATGCCCTTGGTAACTTGGAAATAATTCAACTTCAGAGGCTGCATAGCGCAAAATGACAGAACGACGAAAGAAAAATATAGAAAGAAGCGGTAATAACTTCAATTAAGATCCTTTCATAGAATTTACCTGCAGAGAACGAGAAAAACTACGAAATATTTGAGTTAGAATAGCCTGACAAAAGTTCGTAGTGGATACCAGAAGAATAAGGAGTGACAGCCATTACGCTAGATCGCATCACCTTCATTGCTACATAGAAACTGTAATTGGGACATCCCCGAATCAATAAAAGAAGGCAGCGAGAATTTGCAATCCATTTCGTCGCCACTCGGCCATCAAGAGCAACCTTCATGAACCTCACAGCGAACTGTTGACTCCTATGTTAGTTTTATGACACTCAGCACAGATTTAGTAGCGCCTTGTAAGGTGGGACGATGATCATGATTAAAGAGTAGGCCAGGATCTGAAAGAACACCGTTTATCGTATTTGAAGGTATTATCCCATCATTTTTATGGATGGACTGAGACTAAACTTCAGTAAGGACAGATGATTTTGTTGACTAGTATTCGAACTGGTAGCACACCTACTTAATACGAGAGATATGAGGTGGTTACAGCAATCAAAATGTTGGTGTTCTGGGTTGTGAGCCGTGAGGGCTTGTAGGTAGATATCAACGTCTTGAAGAAACATACTGCTCTGAAGATGGAAGGCGTACGTTCCTCCGAAACGTTGGTATCTACCCACAATACCAAGCGGAGTTAAAACCCAGAAGACTTACACTGACTTCCTAATACAATCTCAGATCGTTACCAGATTCTCATGATTCCTGTTTTTGCCTGCGGTAGTGTGGAACCGATCCCACACAGAGCAAAAGAAGGGGTCGCGGGTTAAATCTTGTCTGAAGCATTAATGCTTGTCGGTGACTTCCATCATTATCGTAATTTCGGAAAATCTGTAGGCCATTCAAGGGCACGCCTTGAGACAGTTGTTCCAAGGATTGGTAGAACCGGGAAATAGGAGGGGGGGAGAGCACCCTGAGATAAAGAACAGCCCTCATAATATTTCAATTTTGGTTTGGTTGGTTATTTAACGGCACCATATCAATAATATAACTTCTTTATAAAAAGTATTTTAAGGATGATTGTGAACTATAAATTACTATTACTGATATCTTTCGTAGTTTTGTTCATGTCCTGGAGTTCAACACTAGGATAGTACCTTGAAATAGATTAGAATCGATCTTCAAATTTTACCAATTATAATTGGTAAAATTTGAAGATGGTGTCATTTCTAATTCGACGCTTTATGATCCATGCAGTAGATGCATCGTCGTTAAACAAACTAAGGTAGTCAAGACAGTCTGCGATTTAAATACTCATCCACACATGTCTGCTTTAACTAACAACGTAATCTCAATCAGGTCTGCTATAGGTTTCCCATGTTGGTAATCCACCCCTCCCACCGCAAGATGTGAAATCATGAATGTCGCCAGGCTCAAGACGCGCAATATCAACGGTCGTCGACGCTTTCGATGTCGCCGTCGGGACGGAGCCCTTGTAATCAGCAGCGCCGTTTCTCATTAGTGGTTGATGTGAGAAGTGAGGCAAGGAAGGACGATGGCCGCAGACCTCGACTACTTTGGCCCGGTAATCTGCCTGAGCCGTGTCAGCGCAGTAATTAAAGAAGTCCACACATATTTCTCCCCAGTTTCCTATCCGTATTTCTCTCTTTTCATTTCTAACTTTCCTGCACTTTCACTCTATCTTGCTTCCCTTTGTTTCGCTCCTTCTTTCTTCCCAACAAGTTTATACAATTCTTGATCCGGATGGAAGGAATAAAATGTATACGACATCTGGCGGATGGTTATTTATTATTCTTCTTACATTCCATCGTCTCAAAATTCCGAAATCACGTTGATCATAGCACAGAGTAAACACAGGTTACAACTAATTCCACAAAGCAGAGTCTTCTTTCAAAAGCTGACAAACGCTCAGCCAATAAAGATAAGCATGAAAATTATATTTCAGTAAAATACACACATCTTCCAAATATTCCTTTCGTTAGTTTGTATACTATGTCGACAACAATATTCATCACTACAGATATAAATCTATCGTTACAAATATAATCACACTACAGAAACCACACGGTACAGCCTTAAATTTTCTATTTTTTTTAAAAATTTTCACTATATCGAATAACGTTTCATAGTAGTATAACTTACCCTCTAAGCACGAAGATCATCTGAACAATATTTATTACATATTCTGTTAATACTTCAAAGAAAACAAAACACTTCTCAATTCCAAGGATAAACTTGTAAATTCTATTTAAGGAAATAATCCGTTTACTGTGAGAATCATACGAAAACCATAAACAGGCTGTGGGCAGCGTTATTATATGTTAAAGAAGATGGTACATACATTTATTTACCTTTTTACTTTAAAGGCGTAAATATATAGTCCTATATTATATTATGTGGGCCTACTATTTTCTTTATAGACTACGACGAGACGTTCAAATCATTCAAGTAGATTTAATAAGGAACTGACACGACGAAAATATTCGACTAGCCTAACAACTTATCTAGATACTCCTTAACACCAAAGTTAATGCACACAATTCCAATCCCCATCCTGATTCACTTCAACACCGAAGACAGAGACGATACGTTACTCCGAAACATTGTAATTAACGCAAGTCTCCTTCGAACGCAAGTCTGGCTGTGAGCTTTATTCCGTTTTAAACACCTCAGGTAAGAAATAATGTACAAAATATGCTGCATATTTATGAGGACACTGCTCATATTTACACTACAACAACCAACATTGGATAAACAGATTCCAGACGCCTAAAAGAATAGAATAATAAACGTTAAAATGTTATGTACTGTACTGTCATTCACTGTCAAGAGTTTTCGATTGCCATTTGGAGGCCTACAACCAATGTTGCTGCCAGTTACGAATGTTACAAGATGCTCATTAAAGTGAGCGAACAAGTGAACTCAAAATAGACTGCATTACGTCACAATAGTGTCATTTGCAATAAATGTCGTAAAACATCTTTCTAATGTATAATTATGTCAGTTAATTATCCAGACTGTTAACAATTTGAATGTTTGAAAGAATCTGTACTTTAGAAGGCGTCGTATAATTGTGCTAAATCTAACTGGAATAAAACAAGTAAACGCCACAGGCGGTTCCTATTCTTATTCTGTCGATTCTTTATTTAAAATGTTAATGTCACTCAACTTCAGAATTTTAATACAGTTTCATTCGCTATTCATATGGAGAGTAAATTCATAACAGGCATATATTTTTATTGGAAATATAAACATCTGGCACCTGCCATTTAAACTTAAATGAAACACGTTTTTAGTTCAAAGTGTGTTTCTACACTCAAGATAATTAATTAGTGGCTACAACGCAGAAATAAAGTATCACATTATACGAAACTGAAAACCCGTTTTTTTTCCAGAACTGTCCACAACAGCTTCTTAGTTCTTAGAGATAATACAACCAATGCAGTAAATTACAAATGGTTAGAAGAGCGGGGTTCGATTCCTGGTTTGAACAGAGATTCTTCTCTTTGCCACCGCGTCTATACCGGCTCTGGAACCTACCCGGCCTCCTACATAAGTGCCAAAGGAGGTGATTTTTCAAAGGGCAAAGCGGCCGAAGCGTAAAGCTGAATATTCTTCTCTACCTAATGCCGAGCTTAGAATGCGTGGATCTGTACTCCCTTATACGTACTTATTATTAACGGCATGGTATTTAATTACACATATTATGACGAGACTATACAATAAAACAATATAAGCTTATTGCTGGAAAAAAAGGCAACGCACTTTCAGTGCTGCAAACTTTATACATCTAAGAAATCAAATGTCAGATAAAATGTTACAGCGAGTTAGACTGGATTAGTCTCCTTAACTTGTGTGGTCATCTGTCCTCTTGTCCCTTCTTATACGGTCAACCTTCTAACTATAAGATTGTCTTTCCTGCCCCCCCCCCCCCCCCCCCCCAAACCACTCCTTCATATCACATCTGCTACATCCAGAGACACTAGCAGGAGGAAGCAGACGGATGGATTGACAAAATACGTGCGTGTCCGTCCCTTGATACTGAAAGTTTCCTTTGGGTGGTTTCTGGTATAACATGCTTTCCGCTTTCCTTCTTCGACAGCGAACAGTTGCCCCTAGCTAGTGGCAACCCTCCAACACAGTTGACGCCGTGCGCCACGACGGGTAGATAGACCAGACTGGACAAATGAGAACAAATCAAGTAAATAGGCTGGAGAATGAGCACGACAGTCGTGAAAAGACGAGAGAAACGCGAATACAAAGGTAACGGAGAAATGTAAGAGAAATGTTAATATGAGATACGAATTGGAGCATACGCGAGCTAAATTGAAATTATATGTTTGTCACTTTCGCCACTGAAACGTAACGAAAGTTTAGTTGAGATTTTCTGACCTGAAATTTTAGACAGCATGGCCTCAGAAAAGAATGTCATTTATGCGGTAAGATCATTATTAAATTTACATGTCATACAAATACTAGCAGAGTACCTGCAGTGTTACTGAGGTAAAATTCGACAAATGCTCAAATTTCACACCAATCTTTATTGCCCAAAAGCTCATCATATGCCTGATCATTCGACACGTGCCGTTAATTATGACATTAAAAATATTTTATTCCTAAATCCAACATCTTGACCGGACAAACATTTCGGGGTTGTGGAATTTGTCCTGTCATCTTCTCAGTGAACCAAACATTTGGTCTTGGAGCCGCTGTTCTATCGTGTTTGCTTTATGAATTTTAAAAACCACCCCCTACAGAACTCGAACTCGGAAAACTTTCGAAAGCAAGCATGAAAAGAAAGACAAAAAAATATTTTTTACAACCATGGCAGGATCAGGGATTTTTCGCTTCGCCACTGCATTATGAAGGGCGTCCTATCCACCGGGTGCCAGGTATAGTTTCCCCGGACAAACCGGTCGGAGTGCGAAGCTAGCCACTCATCTTCATGGCGTACGTAGTTCTTTGCCACAAAGGCAGCAGGTTGTTAAGGCGAAAGCGTAAGAGAGTCGAAACTCCGTTACTGAACGATAATTGGCTTCTTTGTTTCCGATTCTCGGTACGTTTCTCCGGCTTCTATTACCCTTGGTTAAACATAGAATGACGATGTGGCAGATCTCTACATCAGATATTTCAATTACTCCCTCACGTACAATTTGATTGTGGGGAGTGAGACTGAAATAGAATTATTCAACTGTTTCTTTACATGTTTTTTAAAAATTACAAGTTAAAAGTTACTAGAATAAAAATTATCATTCAGTGAAAATTTGCATTATTTAATGGAATGTGGTAATGTGCTTTCGGTTCGGAAATCATTTGCTGTTTTCTTTTACTGGTTCTACAGTTGTAGTATCTGTATTATTAAACTTAAATGGACTGCGAGGCCAAGTTTCCCACGTTACAGCCTCTCATTACATGGTACTGTTTTCCATTCATTTCTCATATTTCCTTAACAACACAACAAAGACACAGGCCTATTTGTCAATGATTTTTGTAACTGCAGAATATAACCTTGGTAGAACCCTTCCAGGATGGCGGGTTGTTATTCACCTACCGTAATATTTGTGACCTGCGATGTGAAACAATTTAAAACTATTATATTAGTACACGAAGCATGTTATTATATTGGAAGGACATTTCATTCATTTTTATGCATACTGTTTAATTGATTCCTTTATGTAAGTTTCTTTCGTCATAATTCCTTGGTATTATAGAATTTGTAGTTATGAATGCTAGAAAAACCCACTGAGAAATATTAAACTGACCGAGTTTGTGATTCATTTCTGTGTAGTTAACCAAGTCATGTATTAGCCACGAAAATGGTTTTCTTCGTTAAGATTTTATACAAATTTCGCTTCCCAAACACAACCTATCTAAGGCCACAGATTTATTTGGAATAATTCACAAGTATCCATCTGTCAACTCGCATAATGTACTTCCAGGTGAACTTAAAAATGAATAAAGTTATCGTAAAAGAACACGAGTTGGTGACCAAGAAAAATCCGAAAAATATCCAGTGAAATTCGTTCATATTTAAATATTTAATAAATTTTGAAGGTTATTATAAAACGCTTTCTCGTGTTCATTCATCGTTTCATTGCCAGATTAACAGCTGCGCTACAGTGGACACTGTTCGAATTACGTCACTACTCCCACATTATACAAACTATTTTTTAAGTTCTCCTTCCAAGGCTGTAAATTTAATTCCTGTGTGTCTTTTCATTTTTGGTACAATAATTTGAAATCGTTCAGATCATTTCTGTTCACCCTGCATTTTAAGCTATGCAAGTCTATATGTCTGCACAATGTTTAAATAAATTCCCTGGGAGAGTGAGTGAGTACGCCACTGCTCAAGCGCTCGTAATACATGCATAAGGAACGGACGACCATGGCGGAACTAATAGGCACGTTCAGTTACACGAAACACACTTAAATATTAATTTTTTAGTTAGGCAAAACGCTTCAAACTTAGTTTCAAACAACGCGTCGCATTTCTCTCGTCAGGAGGCATGGTTTTCTCGAGAAGTCACGTTGAACGCAACAACTTTAAGATCATCCACGTCATGGAGAGAAACTTTGTCCTACAACGAAAAGAAGTCTCAGACAGCCACATCCTTACCAGTCCACACCGATTTCACTTATTTTACAATTAGCTACAACACGCGTTATTCTTCGCGGGTTTTCTAAAATGAAACGGTACTAAACTAATAAAATAGCTTACTTGTTATGTCCCACTAACTAAGTAATTAACTCACCCCATGGGGTAGAGTTTTTCTTGAGGAACTAATAGTTGATCAAAAAATCTCGCCTTTTATGGAACCCGAACTTTCACCGGTCCGTATCCTAGGCCATATGAATTCAGTGCATACTTTCCCACCCCACTTCCTTAGGCTCCATTTTAATATTATCCTCCGATCTACGCTTAGGTCTTCCAAGTGCTCTTTACCTTCAAGTTTGTCGACCTAATGTTGTACGCATTTATATTTGAACTGAGTGTCACATGCTGTATCATAAACAAATTTGTAGGTGTGGTTATCTATCTCTTTACTAAATTTGGTATGCTTAGCTGCAATTCTTTACTTACTACTACAAACATAAAGAATTATCAATAAAGTTACCACTACGGCAATATCCCTTCGCTGTAAAATCTGAAAGCCCATCAGCGTCATAACAAAACCCAGAATTAGAACATATCGTAAGTAAGTTAAAGCCAGGTCACATCTTAACACGTGGTCATTTAATACTGATCGTAAAGAAATCATCCTCTCCATTTATTCGTATCCGAATTGATTTCTTGCAATGAATTTGTATGCATTCTTTTCCCAGCCATATGCGTTATATATCCTGTTACGAGTAAATTTGACCTTCGTGGTCCAAAACAGTATTCAACTGTTGAATTTATTTCGCACAAACAGCCGTCAGGCATTCGCAGTTAACGCGAGATTAACTCTGAATTCAACAACACATTGGATTAAATAAAATCACCTGCTATACACATTCGACCCAACACAGTGGAATAGTGGCTACTCCACAGACTTCAATTCGAGAGATATACTGTTCGAATCTTGGCTGATTTATCGGTTATAAAGACTGAATTTTCTCGTTATTATGCTTATTTTGAATGAAATGCATAACGAGAACGCATTATAGGCTGGTCGTGTCTGTCCGTCTGTCCAGTCGATTCCTATCTAAGACCACTGGGCGGATTTGGATGAAATTTGAAATGTAGGCAAAACTACTCTCCACGACCTAAAAATCATACTTTCGAATATCCTAGCAACAGTAGCAACAAAGTGACGGGCGTGGAACTGAGGTGCTGCAGTCTGGTGGCCAAGTGGGAACTATCGAACAAGGTGAATTTAATACTCCTAAATAAACTTTGCAAAGAACACATGAGGATAATATGTGTATTCCGGTACGGAATACATTTTTCGAGCTTGTTCTGTCAAGTCTGTCCACCGAATTTCGTGATAGTATATTCGAACAGCCTAAATTCAACCTCTTCCAAAACCTTACATAATCATCATTCATAATTCCTCAGATTCTCATTTGATTTCACTCTACGTATGTAAAAGACATCGTAAAATATACTAACAATCAACATTTTGAGTTTTATTAAATGTCCTTGACTAAGTAACAGTGATAAACACAGAAATATAAACATTATTTAAATGGGAACTAAACAAAGTTAGCAACTGTACGCATTGTTTTTAGAGTCTCGATACCAAAATATAATCGATAAGAAAATCGGATTCTCAAATTTGTTTTGTGTTTCTCAAGATATAATAACGTAAATTCAAAAGACGATACTGTTTCCTCCTTTCACCAACCTCAATTCTGTCTAAGACTGTGGTAGCGGAACCCACAACTTCAAGAGACCAACACCGTCACTGAATACGATCCTGAACTAGATCCACCCACCTCCTACTCTCACAAGCAATTTCCGTAAGTTTGATCTCAATCATATCCTCTCATCTCGGTTTCCAAGAGATTTACTCGCCAAAAGTTGTACGAATTCCTTCTATACCAATTCTAGGAATATGACTAGTCCAATCATAACCTCACATTCCACTATGTTAACAACACTAGGTGTCCCGTTCAAATAACGAAGTACCTCCTTTAGACTAAAGTGTACATCATTTTGTATTTTTCTTCAGTTTGTATCCTAAAATTTATTGCCAAATTCATGCACTGTCTACCATGGCAGATGTATGAAAAATATGATCATATTTTTTGGAAACATGCAACTAATCACACGGACGAGCGCTTAAATACGGTACCTTAGAATACATACAGAAACAAAACGAAAGAAGCGATACATATATCATTATATCCAAGTAGTAGATGCAAACGTTGGTAATACTGTTCTTGGCATTATGACGACAAAATCATTCATGTGATACCCCACTGGACCACCCGGTTCAATTCATATTTACAGACGTTCGATACCAATAATTTCGTACGTGATTGTACTCCATTCTTATGGAAAACTTGAAACATACTTTTCATAAATAAACGCAGCATATAATGTCAATGTTTAGAACAAGTAGCAAAGCCTAACAAACTTTCTCTCAACTATAAATTTTCAGAGACATAAGTACGCGAATACAGAACAGACGGCGTTGTTTGGATTACTAATAATTTTTGTTCTGGCGTTACATGTCATTATGAAAGAGGGTTTATTTTCTTAGAATTCCGTATTGCTGCTTAGAATAGAATGGGACAGGCGGGGGGGATGGAGGAAGAGGAGAAGAAGAGGGAGATTGAAAAGAAGAAAGGAGAGAGAAAAAGCAGAAGAAACCATGTTTGCTTTGTTGTTATGCATTCTGATTACATAGTTTGTTCACCCAAGTATCATATTTCCTGTCCTTTGCACGTCAAGTACCTCGGTTTGTTCCTTTTCGTTAGTGCTTTCTTTGTCCATCCCGTCAGCGAGTCAGTTTCATGGAGACATCACCATGTTAATCATCATCATTATTCCAAGCATGACCAGTGTTCCCACGACACGCTGGCATGGAGACGCATGCGTGTATGTTCCTGTAAGATACGAACTCTTCACCATCGCTTCAGGAAGTGCACTCCGATCCGATCCCATCCACGTACTGAAAATCAATTGTCTACAGAAACCGATTTCATATGGACACGACAGAGCAAGTTCACCTATTAATGATTAAAGTCGTCAAATATAACTTTCAAGCTTAAAATAATTTGTTGTACGTCTTTCATCCACACTGTACCACCACATTTCGGCAACTGTTGGTCATCATGAAACATTTCGATACAGCTCCCATAATAAATTATTACTGCGCGTGCAGTTACTGCTATTTTATAATATTATCGCAGTTATTTATTATATTTCAATGATAAAATGCCATCTTCAAAGCCCAAGAAAATCAGGAGGGTTTAGAATTGAATGAAGTACATCAGTTTCGGGTCTTAGTTGATAATAATTTATAGGACGAAAATAAATTACCCTAAGAAAACACTGCAACTCTGTTTCACGTTAGAAAGGAAGTTGGTTTAAAACAGAAGAGAAAACTGTTAAAATGTTTTGAAACTACAATAACAAATTCACGAAGTACTTAAAAGCAGATTAATTCGAGGAATGTTTACTCTCAATTAATTCCAAATGGTTTACCTTCCAGGGTCCTATCTAAGAACATACTGGTTAGAATCTATAATTTCAACTGTTGTCTACATGGGTGCGAAATTTGGTCTGTCACCTTAACGAAGATAGATTGACGGTGTTTGAAAACAGAGAGTTGAACAAACAGTTCGGGCTACGAGAAAGGAATCACTAATAGGGTGGAATTACTAATTACTAAGCAGCTTTATAATTTGCACTCTTTACAAATTTTACTGAAGTAATCATTTCAATTATATGGAGGATATTAAAGAGATAAAAACTGCACATAAAATTTTAGTCGAAAAACCTGAAGGAAAAGGATCTCTCAGTAGACGAAAACACAGATGATAGTAGGCCTGTAATATTATGATGGAACTGAAATAAATACGATGTAAGAATATGACCTGCAATGAACTCCTCATCGCAAAATACAGTATGTTAGGAAACGTCACACAGTTGACCAGCTGAGCGACTATTTGTATCAAATAAGGACTTTGCTCCATTGAGACGGTTAGTACAGTGACACTCAGTTCGGAAATCCTTCCAAATTAATCAGTGTAGCCTAAATCAAAGAATAACCCGTCAAAATCGCGCGTGACTTCAAAGAGGAAACGAAGATGGGTGATAGAAAATTGGATGAGCGGATGATGGCACTCTCTTTCTATTATGACAATGTACACACACATAACTGGTTCTCAACCTGCGGTCCGCCTGTGTCCTGTATATGGCAGGCATACATTTTTGCAATATAACACTGTGTCACTCTTGCATGATTTTATACAATGACCTCATATCATAAATTACGCTGTATTAATATCAGTAGCCTGTTACTTGGCAGTATCTATCGCTGTGAGAAACTGTTGGCTGCAAATGTTATGTGCAAACACTTTAAAGGCCGTATGCAAATAATGTGAAGAAAAATTAAACAAAATAATTGAAAGATTGCTCATTCATAGGCAGCGTCAAATATCTCATTAGCAATTAATAAAGACCGGAAGTATAATTTCCCTGTTTAAAACAGCTACAGGACTCTGTCCTTAGCCAGGTTATCCCAGTCCATAACCTCACGCCCTATTTCTTTAACGTTTATTTTAATATATCATCCTATCATGTTCTTCTAGGTCTCCAAAATGGTTTATTGCCTTATTGGTTTCCGAGTAAAAGTTTGTATTTATTTTTCATTTCACCCATGTCTCGGCCATCTCATTCCCTTTGAATTAATCGTACTCATAATATTTTGTGAAAAGAACAAATTATGGAGCTCTCATATGTAATTTTCTCCAATCTGTTCTTCCGTCCTCAGAATATTCTCCTCAGCATTTCCCTCAAATCTGTTCTTCCAACACGATTAGAAAACACGTTTCATACCAATATAAAGGAAAAGGTACAAATTATGAAACCGTATATTTCAAATTTAATTCCCTACATAAAAGACGCAAAGGCAAAGGATTCAGAATTGCCAGCAATCCCAGAGAATATTATGGTCCAACTGATTAACACTAAGTACTTGATTATGAATGTCTTATTCGTGTCGTCTGGAACATATAAGGCCATACACGCTTAGCTGCACTCCCATGAACAGGATTTAAGAGAGGAGCTCATACGTTTTAGTTGTAATATTATGTGGAAATGAAGACAAAAATGAAATGGCCCTTACTCCACGATAGGCGACATCAGTGGTTGCAAGTAACGTAACGTTACGATTATATAGCAAGAGCATACAGACGAACAAAAGAAAACGACTGAGCTTGCTATCAACGAACCAGATTCACAGCTAAAGTGCTTCCTTGAACAATTAGTATTTGTTCAGCTGCCAAAGAAAATCTGGGCTGTTAAGGAACGCTACAGTCATTACCGTATTCATAAAGTCCCGTCATTGAAACTATAAAGAAGAATACACCGGATAGCAATAAGATGGCTACCAGACTACAAGGCGCTACAACCAAGAAGACAACCATCTTCGGACTCACAGCCGCGAAACCCTCAAATCCTACGGAAAAATAATTTTGTTTAATTTTATTCTGGCAATTAACGGCCCTTAACAATTTCCCATACGTGCGACATGTCCCTTCAATCCATCATTTTAACCAACAAAACAGTATTAGACGAAGATAAAAAATGTAAAAACAGTAAAGCTGTTCATATAATTAAGCACCTCTCCACAGAGAAGCACGGGAATTGTGCTTAAGTTCCGCGGATTCGTAACCTCTTCAGCCCAGAATGTGGAGGCAGTATGTTTCTCCAAACGTTACCATCTCCCTGAAAGTCTACACGGTGTAAAAACTCAAAAGACCAACAGTGACATGTTTCTTTATCTCTGTTTTGCTGATTTATTAAATGGCCTCGAATGATAATTTCAAGTTGACTACGGATTTTAAGTTCATAAAATATTAAAACTACCTGTTAAGGTACATTTGAAAATATTAGGCCTACATAAAATTACGCGAACAACTGCCATAGCAATTATTTTAAGTTTTAAAGATACGCCCAGATAATTACATGATGGGGCACAGGAAGACAACGAAAACATCAGTTCGGATACATAGCCTCTCGGTGGATACGGAACCGAACACAAAGCAAGTAGAGGCCCACTAACCTCTACGCTGTAACGTCCGGTAACTAACTCCTTGGAGTATAGCCCTCGTTGAAAAGCTTTCAGCTAGTCAAGAAATTGTCCAATTTGTAAGGAACCAGAAAGCTCATTACAATGTTCACGAGGGTCCTACACCGATCCTGAGTAACAGAAATTGAATTCGCACCCTCAGATCCTCTCTCCCTAAGATATATTTTAATCTTGCCATCCCATCTACTCTTTCGTCTTCTGAGTAGGCTCTTCCCTACAGGATTTATAACCAAAATTTTGTACGCATTTCACATCTGCCCCAAACGCGCTGCATGCCCTGCCCCCGCCGAAGGTTTATATTTGAAAACGAGGTTAAAGAAAGCACATTAAGCTTCAGCACTGGATGACAGTGACTGATCAGCTTCACGCCCCGACCACTTTACTCCTCCATCATCTAGAAGAAAAATATGCCCCAGTGTAGATTGGATATGGGGCTGGAGGTGTGCCAGAGTTCATCTAAAAGAGAAATATTCTTATCCGTGTCTGTACTCAAATATCAGTCGTCCATATCATTGCCTGATGATGGAAATAGAGGTATCTGAAACGTTGGGTTCTTCCCCGAATTGACACGTATGATCATAGCTCGAGAAGATTTTATCACTTTAATCCCAGAGAATATTTCAAAACGAAAAAGCGAAAGTTTATTTTATGTTAATACAAATGGGCATGGAAAGGGTTATATTAGCGACAATTCTCAAAGGACTGCTCCTCGTATATAAACCATTCTTAGTTTTACACACAATCGTTTGAAGTAACTACAAAGTTGGGGGAAAGGGACAGTTAAACTATATATTATCGCATGCCAGCAACCGAATTCCCATTGAGCACATGAACCTAGTCTTCATATCATGAAACAGTTCAGTGTAAAACGTCGTGGTGTTTCTAAACCCTAATAATTTGCGCCAACAAGCAAAATATATTCATAGCTGACAACTTCAATTACCAGCAGTATGTATACTTTATTCCTTCTTATGCTAGAAACGCTGTGGAATAATTACAAATGAAAATTACAACGTGTATAACATGCACGATGTTTATTTGTCTGGTGACTCAGCTAGCTGCACGCAAACCCGGAAGACTCGCGTTGCTGAACAGAATGTTTGAATTCAAATAAACAGTTTAACATCATGTAAAATGTCTAAAGCGACACTTGGTATAACATAGTAGCCGTAAAAAAATACCAGTTGAATCCAATTATAGAACAGAATGAGACGTGTGTATTGAGAATGGATGGATTCCACAGACTAGTGTGTTGTGATGATCTAGCGTTCGTGTTGAAATACGGTACTTAATTCACGGAGTGTTTTCTTCATATTTTTGGAAAAGGTAGTATGAAATAAAAGTACATTCACGAAGAACTGATTTTCTTCCCAGAAATAATAAAATTTCAGTTGTGCATATTTTAATATTTAGGTTCCTTTGTATGAGATGGATAAATAAACTACTCCGAACAGAGATGTACCACGTATTTCTAAATTTCTCTTGGTCTTCACGTTTACCTCTCTCGCTTCCATCTACTTCTGAGGCTAAGAATGTGTGGAACTTACCTTAATTTTTCCACACGCCGTCATATTGTGGGGATGAAATTAATTTATCTACCATTAACGCGATTGGTCTCGTACAAAAACAAAATGTACTAACAATCCTATTATAAACCGAAGGATGCGTGAGATAAGGAATGTCACACGTTACAATAGAAACCAAGACAGAGATTGATGCAGCAAAGATTTTCCCAAGAAGAAAAAACTAATTAATGCAGAAAGTACAAGAAAGTGTAGCTAAATCAAAAACTAGTTTCTACCTACCACCCAAACAATTATGACCCTTAACTACAAAAGCCTTTCTCTGAAAGA